AATATATACTCGTGAGTGTCTAGATTTGTGTTATGTGACGTACATTGTTTCTTGCGCTTTAGAGTTTAGATCTCCGGCGCTATTCCATATTGTACTTTTGTCTTTATTTGTACATTCCAATTATATATATATTATATTAGTATTTGGCCATCAAATACCGCTGTGTTTAGAGATATTGCGAGTACTTATATGCTTTGTTTTTGATTCGTTTGAGTTTTGTGCAATTTTATCTTTCCTCAATTTTCAACGAGTCACTAGGATTTTATTGGTCTAATAAGCACCATCTTACATTTCATGTTTGGATCATTCAAATTCTAGGAATATTTTCATTTTTCAAAATTATATCATATTATGGAAATATAGATCGAGAGATTTTTAATAATATTTCTCTTATCTTCGTCTGATGTTCATTTTCAGTCGAAATCATCAATTTTGTATATATTTATCCACTCCATGTAGACTCCTTAAGGTGAATAAGAGAGTTTATTATGATTTGTGACATTTTTTGGATGTACTCGTGGTGTATGAGAATGATATTTATGAATACCTGATGTATGTCCATCTGGTACTCCTGAGTAATTGCCGCGCTCTCAATTATAGTTTACCACTGCACGCTCATTACCTAAATAATTAGATTTTTGATTGATTCCTCCTACTTTACCCTGCTGGTACTCACTAATATCTTCAGTAGATTACTGTTAGGTTCTTTTAAATTGGTGAATGTTTGGTATGTTGAGATGAGATGTTTGTGTTTGTTCTAAATGTGAAGGTGCCTTTCCAATATTTGGCTTTAACTTAAATATTGTTCTTGCCCAAAACTTGATTCAGAAATGTGCCTCTCAGATACCAAAGGATCCAGAAGCATCCCGAGGGTCAATATATGTTGGGTGTCTCGAGCTATGCCACTCGCTCAATATTCCCCACACGGTAAAGGGTTCGTGGGGGTGAATGCTTGGGCACTTTCTTGGACTTTGGCTCCGCCTTGGCTAGGTTCTTTGTATTTTGACAGGTTCCCGAGGTCTTCTCTTTCAGTTTGCACCCATTTTGAATTCAGATCTTCTACCTTCGTCAACATTCTGATATTAAATTCGTGGCATTTTATAGAAGACAGAACATAGACAGATATGGTATTTTGGTACATAGAGAGATTTTATTGATATTTTGATAATGTTTGAGATAAACTACTTTTTATAGATTGAGCATGTCTAGGTTCTCTTTTTTATTCTATGCCCATCTTAGATTCTGGGGTCAATTTTTTACAGCGAAAATAAGATATATATAAGTCTCTCGGCGCAGGCCATTAGCCCATATACATCGTAAAGGAACTCTGTAGGCATTAGAGATATGTATGTCTTCGTTGTTCTTCTGTGTGGGGTGGTTTTTTCTAAGTATCACTATATTACGATTCAGTACATCAACCTCATTATAATTTTATTTTTTTAGTAAAAAAAGTCAAAAAAAATATAAATTTACATAGATATTATTCTTGGGTTTAAATAATATATCTAATATTATTATTTTTATTGGTTTAACTAACAAAAGAATAAATAAACATGACTTTAAAAATATTATTATTAGCGCTTTATATAAGTTTATAATACTAATCTTTAATTTGCTTGAAAATAATTATTATCTACATTTAATAATTAATATTTTATGAATAATTATTTATTATAAATGCAACTATTGATAGCATTTAATGTTAATAATAATATCTATGTACATAAACTACCAAAAATTTCAAATTCTAATGATCTCTATATTATGAGAGAAGATATAGATTAATTAGGTCTAACAAATGGAAAAGTATGGAAATATATCAAATTAATGAAAAAAAGTTACCCATTAATATTTTTGTATACAAATCAAATTAACTATTCAAATTCTTTATAATTATGTTTTTTTTAAAAAAATGAAATGAAAAACTCAGATTAAGTTTTGCTTATATAAATTAAAAAAATTAATTTAAAAAATTTTAAATGAATAATTATTTAAGTTATGGCAAGAATGTAATTAAAGTATGGCAAGAATGTAATTAAAGAATAATAAAAGGGTTAAGTGAAAAGGTAAATAAAATAATATAAGAAGAATAGTAAAAATTTTATATTTTAAAATTTTATTATTAAATATAGTAAGAAATGCATAAAATAATAAATCATTATAGTCACCTATAACTAGTACTGACGTCGATGTTAGCTAGTGGCAATGGTAGTGGCCGACGACTGGTGGTGGTGATTACCGTTGATTAATAAATTAAAAATAGATTATAATAAGTTTACCAATATATGAAAAATGTTTTCCACTCTTGAAAATAAAAGGTCATTTTTCTTAAAATGATAATTTTCCTTTGATGAGGAAACTATTTTTCGTTGACTGATTTTCCTGAGTAGGCCAAATATCAAAAAATCTAAAAAATATTTTTTATACAAATTATATCTCAAAAAACAAATAGAGCCTCGATATTCCTTTTCATTTAAGACCTATTCGATATTTATTTTTTGCTACTACAACTTCTGAAAAATTGAAATAAATACATAAATAAAAGGCATTCTTCTGGCTCAATAGATAATGCTTGCTTATCATTTAATTTTCATAAGTCTAAAGTTGATTTAAAATATAAAATTATATTTCAACTTATTAACGGTATTCTTCATGCTTGATTAAAGAAATACTTTGTACTTAAAAAGAAATTAAGTGGAAGATTTACATAATATTATTCAACTGGCGCACACTAAAGGGTTTCTCTCCTCCTCTTTTCTCTCTAATCTATTTATTCCAAATTTTTATTTGGGGCTGCTGCTGTTAATCAGCGGTAGGCCCATACTTAGGCATTTAGAGAGTTATATGTTTTTCTATAGAAATAATGCGAATGGAAGACTTAAAATTAAAGAAAGACTTCTTTGTTATTATGACAACTATGTGAGTCAAGTAAACTAAATAATACTTTTGCTTGATTTATATCAACAATTGACATCACAACCACTGAAATACTGACTGCATTGGCCGTCATGGTCAATCAAGTGGTGGCTTAGTTGGTCTTTTTACTTATGTGAGGAGTAGAAAGTCTCGAGTTTGAGTCCTCTTATTGACTACAACTGTTTTTACCAATATCTTCAGTCAAGGGTAGGGCTACACCTAGTTGTATAGCCATGTTTAAATAAAAGAAAAACGTAAATAAGTTGTTTGAAAAGTAATCACGGACCAGAGCAGTTGCGTCACGCAGCCAGTAGATCCGTCACGGACCTGGTAGTTGCATGACGGAACTATTCATGTCGCATTTAAAATTGAATATAAAATTTATAAAATTATTTAATAAATTTATAATTTTAGAATCATCCATTTTTAATCTTTTACTTATCAAAATGAAAAGTATAATTAATTTTGTAATTGATATTGAAAAAAAAATTGAAAGTAAATGCTATTGAATTTGATTATACTTTCACCTTGATTAATTGAAATGGAAATAAAATTTAATTTTCCCATTGAACTTGGTAGCAATATAAAATTCGCTAATTTGCTCAAAAATTATTTTTTTGTACAATTTACACCTTAAATTTGTACAAAAAGAAATAAAAAGAATTAAAAACAAGCTCATTTTTTTGAAAAAATAATATTTTAATATTTTTCAAAATTTTTAAAAAATTGTAAAAGTTAATAAAGAACAAAATATTTAAAAGTCACACAAAAACTGATTATAAAAAGTTACAATTATTTTAATGTTTGATCTTAGAAAATAACTGAAACAAAATATTTGATATATAAAAATTATAGATAAATTAGAAAAATATCTTATTTGATTATAAAATATTTATTATTTTTTGTTTGGTTATTTTTTTAATTATATATGATCTAGATCAAATATTTAATTATTTTTAATTATATTTGATTTATATCAAATAATTTGTTTTTTGGATAAAAAATCGCGCATTTTATTCTTTTGGTGTAAGTTTAGAGGGAGAAAATATAAAAAAAAATTAATTTTTTGACAAATTATATATTACTCTGAAGCACTTCTAAATGAATATTAGAAATTTCAACAAGCACTAGAATAGAAGAAATTTGACATTTTATAATAAAAGTTTATGTATGATACTTCATATTTGTTGACTTCATACATAATAATTTAACTTATAAACAACATTATAAATACAAGATTGACATTAGCATATACATGTAATTATGTAATAAACCATAATATTGTATGTGTAGTTTGATAATGCTACTTCTAGTAGAGTTTTATCAAAATATTTGTTATCACACAAATACTTGAAATTCAATTCTTTTTTAGTTTTTAATTAACCAAAAGAAATGAAGTTTAATCTCTTTTATTATTTAAATCGATTTTTTTATTGGTATCTCACTTAAAAAAGAAGAGTGTTGAACCATTCATTCATACACTTATTGGTTATTATTTAAATCAACTTTATTTTTAAGTCTCCTCTACAAATAAACAATACACCATAACTTATAGTAAATGGTTGATGTGACACATTTTGGAAGAACTTTTCTGCAAACGATTATCTTTATAACGAATGTTAAATTATGTAATTTTATGGTTCTAATATAAAAGTTTTTGCAATATAAGGGTTGCCTTAGCTTGAATTTTGAGAGGAAATATTTTTTTCTAAAAAAAAAAAATCAAGAACGAGAGAATAGAATTTTGAATTGGAGGCCTCTCATTGATTTTTCAAATTTTAATTTTTTTTTTAATTTATAAAGTATCTAAAAAAATTAGAATGGTTAAATTTTAGGAGTCAAAAATATTCAAAAAAAAGAGTTTTATAGAATGGTTAGTTTAACTTTTTGTAATTTTTTTAAATAAAATATAAAAATGTAATTGGATGGATGGAGGAAACTTCGCTGAAGGATTCTCCAACATGCATTTAAACCTTGCATTTTTACTTTGCAACACTTCTTTGCAACGTCATGGAACCATTTTGCTACTCCTCCCCCTATATATAAACAAGCTAGAACAAGCTAGAGCGAGTTGAAGATAAGTATTAAAAATGGATATAATTAAGAGGTATTGTTGGATATTAGTGATTTTATTCTTCTTAAAAGAGAGTTGTGATGGCTGTTTAGAGGAAGAAAGAGTTGCACTCTTGCAAATAAAGTCTTCCTTCGATTCTTTTTTTTTTGATTATTATTGGAGGATAGATAGTGTTGCCTGTTGTAATTGGACAGGCATTGAGTGCGATGAAATTACTAGTCGAGTTACACATCTCTACCTTTCAGATATTCTTGCTCATCATTCTTCACAGAATGATTTTTACCTAAATGCCTCTTTGTTTCTTCCATTCCAACAATTGAAGTATCTTGATTTATTTGGAAATCGTATAGCTGGTTGCGTTAAGAATGAAGGTCCTTTTATCTCTGTATATTTATCATTAATTATGATTCAAAATAATTAAATTTATGTATATTTTTAAAATGTTCTTTCATATATGCAGGTTTTGAAAGGTTATCAACACTTTCCAATTTGGAACTCCTTGATTTGGGATATAATCGATTTAACAATACTATCTTATCATCGCTGAGTGGTCTTTCATCTTTGAAATACTTATATCTCTTTTCCAATAGATTGGAAGGAATAATTAAAATGCCAGGTGATAACTTCACTTTTTTTTTTTCCATTTTGCCTCAAACTATTAACAAGAGGCAGCAGAATCGAAGGCTTTAATTATTAATTTGAAGGACTAACTTTTTCTTTTCGTCTCAAACTATCGAAGGCTTTTAATTATTAATTTGAAGGAACTAAACTTTTTTTTTCGTCGTCAAACTAATTAACAATATATTAGTGTACATCTGACGTGTGTTGAGATGTGCAGGAATTAAAAATAATTTGAATTAGAGATTGGATAATGGATCGGCAATGAAATCAAAGGCTTCAAATTCTTTACCATGTCATATATATGGTTTTGTGTTTCATTTACCTTTCTATTAACCAACTTGTCTATTATCCTCAAAAGTGTTTGACACTGAGTTATAATTTCTTTTAACTCTTCATCTCCTAAACAAGGGGTTTCATCTCTCAAAAAGAGCTGTTAATGTAAGAGCCTAACGCAGTTGGCAAGGTAGCATTTCGATGTTTTGGAAAGGTTTATTTCCCTCTTCTCGTTATGATTTAATTTCCAAGTAATTTAATTTAAAATTTAATGTAATTCATGACGGTTTAATCTTACTTTTCTTATTAAAAGTGTGTTTTGAATCTGCTTGCGGTGTTTGTACTTTCCTTCAAAGACTCTATATTGATTCTGATCTTAATTAGGTTTACTCATTGGTTTCCTCAAACTCTAATACGTCCTAAGTGAAAGTAATTTGTTTTCCCAATGCTTATTAAAATATTCATGTTGGTGTTTCCAATAGAAATAGGTGTTTACGATTGCCCTGTTGACCGAGACAAACCAAACAAATAAATAGTAAAAGTTTTTTGGAAAAGAACAATACTTGCAAAGAAGCTTATAAGTAAGGGGGTTGGGTGTGATGCACATCACACAATCATACATTTTTGGAAAAGCCGCTTTTCCTGCAAACGATTATCTTTATAACGATGTGTTATTACGTATTTTAATGGTTCTAATATGAAAAAGTTTTGCAATAGTATAGGGTTTGGCTTAGCGTCGAATTTTGGAGAGGTTAAGAATTATTTTTTTTTTCCTGATAAAAAAAAAGAGATAATCAAGAACTTAACGGAAGAGAATAAGAATTTGCGAAATGGGAGGCAAATTTTTAAATTTTTGTTTTTTCTAATTTGTATAAAGTATGATGGCTAAAAAAATTAAAATGGTTAAATTTTATTTAGGAGTCAAAAATATTGAAAAAGAGTTCTTATAGAATGGTTAATTTAACTTTTTGTAATTTTTTTAATTAAAATATAAAAATGTAATTGGATGGATGGAGGAAACTTCGCTGAAGGATTCTCCAACTTGCATTTACTTTGCAACACTCTTTGCACGTCATGGACCATTTTGCTACTCCTCCCTATATATAACAAGCTAGAGCGAGTTGAAGATAAGTATTAAAAATGGATATAATTAAGAGGTATTGTTGGATATTAGTGATTTTATTCTTCTTAAAAGAGAGTTGTGATGGCTGTTTAGAGGAAGAAAGAGTTGTCTTCTTGAAAAGAGAGTTGTGATGGCTGTTTAAGAGGAAGAAAAGAGTGCAATCTTGCAAATAAAGTCTTCCTTCAAATTCTTTTTATTATTCTTGGAGGATAGATAGTGTTGACTGTTGTTATTATTATTGAGTGCGATGAAATTACTAGTCGAGTTACAAAACTCAACCTTGCATACCAGAGGGATTGGCCTTCATAGAATGATTTTTACCTAAATGTCTCTTTGTTTCTTCCATTCCAACAATTGAAGTATCTTTTTTTTTTTTGGAAATGGTATAGCTGGCTGCGTTAAGAATGAAGATCATTTTATCTCCGTATATTTATCATTAATTATGATTCAAAATAATTAAATTTATGTATATTTTTAATATGCTTTTTCATATATGCAGGTTTTGAAAGATTATCAACACTTTCCAATTTGGTTTATCTCCGTATATTTATCATTAATTATGATTCAAAATAATTAAATTTATGTATATTTTTAATATGCTTTTTCATATATGCAGGTTTTGAAAGATTATCAACACTTTCCAATTTGGAACTTCTTGATTTGAAAGAGAATCGATTAAGCAATAGTATCTTATCATCGCTGGGTGGTCTTTCATCTTTGAAATACTTAAATCTAGCTGACAATAGATTGGAAGGAATAATTAATATGCCAGGTGATAACTTCACTTTTTTTTTTTTGCCTCAAACTATTAACAAGAGGCAGCAGAATCGAAGGCTTTAATTATTTCTTTTAATTATTAATTTGAAGGACTAACTTTTTCTTTTCGTCTCAAACTAATAATTATTAATTATTTTTTCTAACAATATATATGAATGTCATTTGTACACTGACGTGTGCTGAGATGTGCAGAATTAAATAATTTGATAGAATTGGATATGAGTAGCAATGAAATCAAAGGCTTCAATTCTTACCATGGTACAATATATTTTTGTTTTCTAATATATTTTTGTTTTCTTATTTACTAATATCTAACAGTTTTGATCTCTTAATTAACAACTTTCTATTATTCCTCAAAAGTGTTTGACCTGAGTTATAATCTCTTTACTCTATCATTCCTAAAAGGGCTTTCATCTCTCAAAAAGCTGCATATAGGAGACAACCAGTTGGAAAGAGCATTCGATTTGAAAGGTTATTTTCCACTCTTTATGATTTAATTTCAAGTAATTTAATTTAAAATTTATGTAATTCATGACGTAATTAGTTTTACTTTCTTATTAAGCAGAATTACATATATCTAAGTGAAAATAATTTGTTTCTCAATGCTTATTAAATATTCATTTGGTGTTTCATTTGAATCAATAGGGTCCTATAATTTCACTAATTTGGAAGAGCTGTACCTGGATTCTTCTATTAATGTGGATGAAAACTTCCTTCACTGAAAACTTCCTTCAAAGCCTTGGAGCAATGATGCCTTCTGTTAAGCTTTTGTCTTTAAGGTCGCTGAATGGATCCGTACCTACTAGAGGTAATTAAATTAACTACAAAAGATGTCTCTCAGTTCAAAGACACTTAAAATATAAGATTAAAAAAAAAAAAAGAGCTTAGATCAGTAAAATAATCTCTCAAATTTAAAATTATCAAAAAATTCCAATATATTTTCACACACTCCTTTTTGAATTTTTATAGGTTTACTTAATTTCAAAAATTTGGAGTATTTGGACTTCAGTTATTCTGCTATCAACAATAGCTTTGGTCTACAAGACATTGGAATGATGAGGCATCTCGTGGTGTTGGAACTTAACTGGACCCATACCTACTGATCAAGTATAATTTTCAACAATCTCTGGCTTTCCCTTGTATCATCTCTTTCAAATAAATTAGAATTGAACTAACAAAAGCGTTTTGTTTCTTCTTTTTTTTGTCGCAAAATTTTCAAATATTCAGGTCTTTGCAATTGGAAGTTTCTGCAAGAGCTAGATATTAATTTCACAATATTCTCAAGTGGTAGTTTGCCATGGTGTCTAGCAAATTTGACATCCCTCAAAAAATTTCTCTCTCTTCCAATAATTACTTTATTGGAGACATTGTTCATCTCCTCTTACATTGCTTCATCTCCTCTTAGGAGATTAACATCCCTTGAATATCTAAATATCTTTGATAATCTCTTCCAAATCCCAATCTCACTCTCTCTATTTTTCAACCATTCAAATCTCAATTTTTTGGATTGTCGACATAACACCATATATGCCATAACAGAGGCTCATAATTTCACTCCAAAGTTTCAGTTAGAGACTCTCCGCTTGTCTGGCCATGGATATGGTAGTGTAGAAATTCCCAAGTTCCTCTATCATCAGTATAATCTGCAATTTGTTGATCTATCAAACAATAAAATAAGAGGAGAGTTTCCATTTTGGTTATTAGGCAACAACACAAAACTAAGGGCACTTAATTTGGCCAACAATTCTCTTTTAGGGTCATTCCAGTTACCTATTCATTCTCCTCCGAATTTGTTCTTCTTGGATATTTCTGACAATAGTCTGTATGGATCCATCCCAAAAAAAATTGGGACACATTTGTCAAGATTAGTGCAATTAAACATGAGTGGAAATGGTTTGAATGGGAATATTCCCCCTTCATTTGGAAATATGAGCTTTTTGGCATATTTGGACTTATCTGACAATAGATTGTCAGGAAGTATACCTGAGCAATTGACCATAGGTTGTATCTCATTATATAAACTCAAACTTTCAAAGAACACTTTGCAAGGACAGATATTTTCCAAAAATGTTAATTTGAAATTTCTTGAATGGTTACAATTAGATGGCAATCTGTTCAATGGAAATATACCAAATTCAATGGAAATATACCAAATAGTTTGTTTAATGCAACTTCATTGAGTATATTGGATGTCAGTGATAACCATCTCTCTGGAAGCATCCCAAAATGGATGGGAAATATGTCGTCTCTTGAAATTTTAGATCTTTCACTAAATAATATTTCTGGAAGCTTACCATCCAATTTTTGCCCTTCGGAAATAAAAGAAATTAAGAAATTCACTTGTCAAAAAATAAACTGCAAGGATCTTTGAGTGATGTATTTAATGGTGACTCTTCATTACTTACGTTAGATCTTAGCCATAATAACTTAATAGGAAAAATTCCAATGAGGATTGCCAACAATTCTAAATTGAGGTACATTCAGTTAAGAAGTAATCATTTGGAGGGTGGAATTCCAACTCAATTATGCAACTTGTATAACTTAAGCTTCATTGATCTCTCTCATAATAATCTTTCTGGTCATATTCTCCCTTGTCTGAGACTTAGTAGTGCTTGGTCTAAAGGACCTGCAAATAAAACCCTTTTATCGATGGCTCTTCCTCCCGACTCACAACCTTTGGAGTTTACAAACAAGAATGGATTCTATTCTTATCAACCAAGCACACTCCAATATTTTTCGGGGATTGATCTTTCTTGTAATAATTTATCTGGAGAGATTCCATTTGAAATTGGAGATCTTGATACAATTCAAATGTTAAATCTATCACACAATAGTTTGACCGGATCAATTCCACAAACATTTTCAAATTTGTTCCACAAACATTTTCAAAATTTGAGGCAAAGTCGAGAGCTTAAGATTCTTTTTTTACAAAACAATTTGGAAGGGGACGGAAATTCCTTCTCAAATTACTTCAATTTACATTTTTTTAGAAGTTTTCAGTGTAGCCACACAACAACTTAATCTTGGTAGACACCTACAAGAGTTGCACAATTTGGAACATTTGATGAAGGCAGCTTGAGGGAAATCCTTTCCTCTGTGGATTACCATTGCCAAAAAGCTTGTTATGCAACATACCTTACATCACCAATATGCCCATAAATTCAATTGATGACATAAGTGGGTTCATCGGACATGATATTTTTCTATGTGAGCTTTGTGGTATCTTACATCATAGTTTTTGTTGGGAATTAATTGGTCCAATTTATACATTAAATCCATATTGGCGACAAGCTTGGTTTTAACTATAGAGTTGATATTCCACCAATTGTTATTACTTTCTTGTTGGGACATTATTCCTTACTTATTTTAAGTTTTGGAGTTTCATAAGATTGTATATTATGTATGGTTTTCATAATTCAAGTGTAACTCTTATGAATAAATGAAAGTATAATGAAATGTAAGGTAAATTATAAATTTAAATTGCATTTTTTTTAGAATAACAAATTTAAACTATGTTTCTTTATTTTCTTTTAAACATATTAGAGAGGTAAATTGATTTTGCAAAAATAAAACTTATATTTTAAATATGACTAGTATTTAAAAATGTGAGTTTTGTTGGGAATAATTGCAGTTTTATATATAAATCCATATTGGCGACAAGCTTGGTTTTACTATGTAGAATTGATATCCACCAATTGTTATTACTTTCTTGTTGACAATATTCCTTACTTATTTAAGTTTGGAGTTTCATAAGATTGTATATTATGTTTCTACACTGTCTATGGTTCATAATTCATAATTCATAAGATTGTATATTATGAATAATGAAATGTAAGGTAAATTATCAATTTAAATTGCTTTTTTTTTTTTTTTAGAATAACAAATTTAAACTCTGTTTCTTTATTTTCTTTTAAACATATTGGAGAGGTAAATAGATTAATTCATATTTAAGTTAGGACAAATTTTCTACAATAGGATTATACTTCCTAACTAATATATATATATATATACATATATATATCTACAAATATATATATATATATATATATATAAACTTCTACAATAGCACATAATTTAAAAATTTTAATTGGTACACTATTAAATTTAAATTTTCTATTTTATTAAACTTATAATTATTATGTAAACTTTATTTTATTTATTAAAATAAGAAACCAGTGTAACCATTCAAATTAAATTACTTTTATTTTTTCAACTAATGATATCAAAAGCTTTTACGATATTTTTGTCAATCCATAAATTTAGTATGAATATTTTTATCAAATCCAATATTTCTCTTCTTATTTCCACTTTTATATAATGAAAAACTTTAATAGCAATATTTCATCTTTTCAAAACAATCAAGAAAATTATTGAAACACATTGATTTTTTAAAAATACATAGGGACAAGATTATAATTTTTCTCATATTAAAACACCACGATTAGAGTAGTACTTTCATTTCGTTTTTTCATACCTTGATATAATGAAAAACTTTTAGTTATGTGTGTGGTGCAAATTTCAATTTAACTACAATTAAAGTATTGATAAAAAAGAGAAAAATAAATATAAAGATAAAAAATAAATTACACTTAATAAACATGGATAAAATTGAAAACAAATCTATACATATAAAAGCTTAAATAAAGAGAAGATTCGACACTCTCTCTTTGTCCAACTTTCTATTTTTGTTTTTCTTAAGAATTTTTAAAATTTTATTATAGTTTTTTTTATTGTAATTGGACAATTTAAATATTTTAATTAATAATTTATTATAAATTATTCATATTAAATTATTTGAGAAGCACGGTACTTTTCACAATGATTTGAGCAACGAATTTGCTATCCGTTTCTAACTCCATTCTTAATATATTCCTAGGTTATGCGCTCTAATTTCCCGCCAATATAAGCAACGAAAATTTCCGTTTCTACAGAATCCGTCTCTAATCCGTTCCTAAAGTTAATCAAAAGTTGGAGTCAATTGTCCGTTTCTTATCGTTTCTATTTGGCAACGGATCAATCCGTTACTAAAAATCTATTGCTATTCAACAATTTTCTTTTTATGCCTGTAGAAGGGGTGAAGAGCTTTAAAAGCCTTAATTATAATTAAATCTCGAGTCGGATTTGGCGATACCTGGTAATAGGATCCGGATACCAGTGGTTTACATAAAAAAAACTATTCCTATGACTATAAATTTTATTAGAATAAATAATAGAAAATCTACGAGAAACCATCTTAATTGTCATCAAACCAGATAAAAATAACCAAAGGTCTAGAGACTTCAACGGATGGGCTTTGATATTATATTGTTGAATAGTGGTTTAGTCAAATTTTAGGGGAGGTTCTGCTGGAATTTCGATAGAATCTAGGCTAGTCATAATTAATAATTAAGTTATCAGGTTTATTTAGATTAATTCTTGAAGATTAATCTTGAACTTGATATATAACAAATAAAGTTCTCTATTTTATTATTTATTTAGTTATTCTAAGAATAAATTTTATATTATATTTGTTTAAAATTACTACTCCTTTACTTTAATTGTAATTGAATGTAATGTCTAATTGTGCACCTTGGCATTCATGAGTATTTACTTGTTTGTTATGCTTAAATTTAATTGGCCCAGTGTTTTGATTCAAATTTTCGATGTGATAATGCAGTATGCTTTGTTTGTGTTGGAGCTGGGATGAAGTGGGGTCACCATGGGTTGTAGGGCGGTCTATTGAGACCGTACCGTATGGGAGATCGGCCCCCCGTGTGCACCTTGCGTTGATATGATATGTATAATATGGATAAACCACAGGGTGGCCTCCTGTTTGTGGTATGGAAAAAGAAAAGAGAGAATGGAAAAAAACCAATGAGAGGGCTGGTCAAGTGAGGATTTGGTCAAGTGAGGATTAGACCGGTCGGCCATGTATGGGGAATCGGCTCCCTGGTGCACACGTTATGAGAGGATGGGCCATGTGGGAGGACGCTCATTAGGGGTTTCGGTGACGCCACTGACTAATTTCCACGTGATGTGACTATGTGAAGATGTTAATAATTGTGAGTGATGTTGTGATGCCATTTGTGTGGCTGTCTGCGTGAGCGTATAACTAGTCGGATGACTAGATTGAAACATTTGCACGTTTGTATGAATGCATGTGTTGTGCAATAACTATTATTCATTAATAAACTCACATGTCTTCTGTTTAACCTTTATACCGTTTCCAGGAAGTAAGATTCTTCTAAACCCGTTAAAGCTCTGTCTCTTTCCTCGCCAGAGCCTAGAAAAATAAATTTTAGGAGTTAGCAATATTGAAATTATGTAGCCATTATGTACCAAGAATCTATCTGCTTTGTGTGAACTCTGCAGTTGTAGAATTTATTAAACTTTTAGCTCGTGTATTAATATAGAAGAAATTAATTTCTGTGAGCCCATATTATAAAAGGATATATTGTTAATTGGGCTCGATCTGTTGAAATGTTTAAGATGTTAAATTTTAGGCCGAGATATAAATTATGTAATTACGGAAGGAATTTGTTTTGCATATTTATATGGGCATATGGGCTGAATGTTTGAAATTTATATTGAGAAAATGAAATTTTAGTCATTAAGGCTTACTACGGGCCTCGGGGGCCTTAAGCTTACCTGGGCCCTAGTGCCAGTTCGGCCCATGGAAATGGGTCGTGACAATAACAATCCTAAAATACTTTATTTAAATTGCTTAAATTATAAATTACCCAAAATTTAGCTTAAATCAAAATTTAACTTAAATCAAAACACATGGTATAGTAAAATTTATGGCCCGGTACTTTCTTTTTTTATTTCTTTGGTTTTTATATTTTTATTTATTTGTTGTTCTAAATTTATTTATAGGTTTTTATGCTGGAAGGTGTTCTAAATTAACACAATATTTTATTTTCTATATAACATTTCGTAAAATATATATCATAGATTTTTTAAATATATTTTTAAAGTTTTGTATAGATTGTTTATGAATTGAAAATTTTTTAAAACTATTTTTTATGTTTATTTAATTATTATCTTTAAGATAATTACATTAGATAATTTTACAATTTTAATTTTTCTATTTATTTATTAAAATATCTAATTACGTTTATTTTCTTTTTTTCATTATTTTGCTGGAGTTTCTCTAAAATACTTTTCTGTTGCTGTATTTCTCAGGCTTACACTTGATCTTTTACACTGATCTTTTTGAATTTTCTTTTCCCAGAGTTCCGATTGTTCAACCTATAGAATCTTCTTCAACATTTTCCTATTTGCCCAGGTATGCTTATAAAGATCCTATATCTCCTTTATAATTTTTAAAACCCATCTAACGGTGCTTGAATTAATCCTTGTGCAGTTGCAGCATGAAGCCTGGGCGAGTTTTGTTGTCCTTCGCTTTATTATGTTAGGAATTTACGCATTTTATGGCAGTATAATGCCAAACCAAGTTCATATGAGGTTGTTGTTTATCGAAAAATACGGTATTTCAGTTGTTATTAAATTATATATTCTAACTTAAATATAACTTCAATTATTATATTTTTTAATTGAATACAAATTATAGTATATATGACACTACAATTTTTAATGGTTTCTTTTTCATTTTCAGTAATTCGCATTACACATATTTTTTCAGGTCATCGGTAAATTTTACAAGTGCTTACGGTTTGTTTTCTTTCTCTCTGCTTTTTTTATTTTATTTTTATTATTTTCCTGCATTGCCTGCAATTTTCCTTTGACCAAAAATACTGATCAATAAAATTTTATGCATTTTATTCTATTTCAATAAATGCTAAATGTCCCTAGTTCAGTATCATTCTACTGGAATAAATGCTAAACACTTGAAATATTGTTTTTATTTTTTATTTTTTTATGTAAGTTTCTTCTTTTCTTTTCAAAGTAATAAATTCTTTAATAATTATAGATGTTATTATTACTATGTGGTGGTTCTAGATATTGAAACAAAACAAATATATTTAAATTATGATTCCAGATATTGAACTTTTTTTTCTTCTTTAAATTATAACACCAACATTAATAACCACCAAACACATATTATTTGTATTAAACAAACATTGCCAAAAGTTATTAAATTCAACCAGCTTACCAATGCAATCTTCAGGAAATGCAATCTTCAGAATTTAGTGAACCAAAAACTATAAATCAGCCAAATCCAAAAGAAACAAGTTCAAACCAGTACAACCAACTTCAAGCATACCAAGATTTTTATTAATAAAGACGGTCCTTCTCATTCATAAGTTGCAAACTTGGATTGATAATAGCTTGAATTGAAAAGATTTTTTATTTTTAACCTCCCAATATGAATATCACTGTCAAATATTAGTATAAATCACAACCATTCATCAATGCTGTTTTGTATCAAATCAAGAAGAAATGGTGCTAAGATTCATTTTTGGATATCATATTTTTTGTTCCAACTAAATTCGAACTCGTAACCCTACAACTTCAACGATATTCAATACTTCAATGAAATTGCAATGCAAAATAACCCAAAAGAAATCATTGAAGAAAAGCCACAATGAAAGCCATAGCAAGTAGCAACAATTCAGGGACAAAATTTTAAGCATTAATACCCATGTTGCTCAACTGCATTAAGCATCTCCTTTCAGGCATTAAGCATCTCCTTTCAGGAACTAAAGAATAAGTACAGACTACTAGAAATAATTAACAGCCAAAAGTTTGGCCAACATACAAACTGGAAATAAATATATAGGATAATTTAGGAATCTTATAAAGTAAAAAAAAACTATAGAATGAAAATTATTGGCTCACCAAAATTCTTA